AGGTCGATAATAATTATTGAAGACGTCTAGAGTGTTGAAGGAAATGTCCATCTTCTTAATTAACCACCGCGGCATGAAGACGTGTGGGAGAATCTAGGCATAGCCTCAGGCGGTCTTAATATCGACACCAGACAGAGGTGGGTGGGTAAGCTTCCGGGAAAGAGCCCTCGATGGATAGGACGCTGATTTGGCCCCAGAGCCAGTATGGATGCTGCTGTGAAGAGAAAGTCTTCGGCTATGACGGGAATAATCTACTTTGGTTGATTCTTATGTATATTGGACATTGTTCTTTATCTGAAGTATGTTTAAAGAATATGACGTTTCGGGAGTTCGTAACTGTGCTTCCGTGTTCAGGTCACTATACTGACATTTTGAGCCGAGAAGCTAGAAAGAGGATTTTCAAGTTTGAACAAGTAAAGTCATATATTAAATCTTGTCCGTCTAATCACAATAAATTCTTATTAAATATTAAAATATTACAATAGTTAATATTTAAAGAACATCATTTAATATTTTAAATATTTTAAATGTTAACTATTGTAATATTTTAATATTTAATAAGAATTATTGTGATTAGACGGAAAAATTTAATATATACTTATTATATCACAATATGACGCAACTTTACCATCTTAAGTAAAGTTATGAAAAAGACAGAGAGAGAATTTGGTTGAGAAGATTTTGTCTCGCATTGCAGACGAGTTACTAGTGAAAAATTTATGGACTGACTGAGGAAACCCGGCCCTACTAAACCACAGCGGTCGCTAAAAGGACAGAATCTCAAATTACTCTTTGCCTGTTTGAGAACTATTTAATATCACGTTAAGCTGGAAGTCCGTTAAATCTCATTGTGGCAACAACTGGAAACAGAGCAGTTCGAAGTGAGATATTGTTTTGCCAGGTTTCACAATTCTCATCTCGGATTTCTATTGGAGAGTCTTGTCTTTGCATTCTGCACTGGGGAAGTCATACGAGTGCATGTCATCAGAGTCGCTCTTCTGCGGAAGTGCGTAGCGTGGTTCTACGTGGCCTGTTAGGTTTCATGTGTCAGGCTGACGGAAATCATCGGAAATATATACGTTTTACATGGCTTCTGAAACAAGCTGGCTACTCATTCTTATTTGAAGTGTTTTGAATATTCCATTACGTAAAGACATCCATAATTTCCTTGTAGTGACAGGAATAAAGAACAGTCCCACGAATATTAAGTTTCGTCAGCATTTTCCAGTTGGTATTACGCACTTGTTGGGTTTAATAAAGGAGGGGGGCCTACAAGTACGTCTGACGAGTTTCGTAACTGAGCAGGGCTGGGTGATGGGCCACAAGAACTCGATAAATTAAGTGACTAGCTGTTGGTTGGACGTCCGCGATTCGATTCTGGAGAAGGTCCCGAATTTGTGTTCTCACTACGCCCAAAGAGTCTCTGCGGCCAGCTCACCTATCCGACACACATCCGGGCCCCTTCTGTGGGTGTTAAGTGCCCGAAGCCCACCTCCGACCACTCACCTTTAATGTCCCCCCCCCCCCCCCCATAAGACCTTGCGACATTCTATTTAAGCAGTGTTTTGTGATTTACTGTTAAGTTATTTAACGGAGCTGCTTAAGCGAAGTTCTCGAATGAAATAGGAAGATTATTATGAACGACGAGTTTATCGAGTGCATGGTTTGTTTCAATGTAGTGCCTACTATTCCTGCATATTCATAAACAGACTAAAGAAAACCTCGAAATTCTTTGTCAGAAAGACCATTAACCCGGCCGAGAAATGAACCAGGTAACCTGACTTGTATTTTAATGTTTACGAGTGTTTGTAATTCTTTATCTTGAAATTCCTTCTGATATTGTGTCCCCCGCCCGATTTGGACAGAATTTAGGCCTACGTGTATCGTTTAATCTGGTAAAAGTGTTTCTGGAGCGATTATTTCAGTGGTTGTCTGCAGCTGTCTGCGGTGCATTTCGAGTACGAAATTAAAAGTTTCTACCCCAGGAATGTTTTTGATATTTCTGGAAAAATCTGATGTCTTAAAATATAACAATAGCGTTGTTGCTATCTAGTAGCCAGGGCAGCTACTACACAGGGGAAAACGAACTTCTCCTCAAAAAATTATCCCGATGCAACATTTACCTTCGATAAAACACCGTTGTGTTTACGTGGCGACATGTTTGAGTCTGTTACACGTAAAAGCTGAAATTCGTAGCAACTACACTTGCATTAGGCATGCGTTATTTAACTCTGTGTCTGTAAAATATAGACTGTCACATAAAATTCTGGTGATGTACCGAATCAGCAGCGCAAAGAGGCAGGGAAGCTTGTAATTAGGTTGTCTTGCCGGTAGAATGAGATGTAATTAATGTTTCTTACATGCAGGGATGCCTCAATGTAGACTTCATACCTCAGAGGATAAGAAAATTATTGGAAAAAAAAAGCTCTTGTATTGGCAGTAGGCATAAGAATATTAGAGGATTAAACTTTGACGAAAATAACTGATACTAATTCTGAAAGACGATCAAAATTTAAAAATTAACGTTGCTGGAGAACTCTCAATTCACTGAATGTACAGTCTCCTCGTAACGATTAGATTATGAATCAGTTTTCAATGCTACATGTTCTGTGCCTCGGTGTTCTATGGTTTCAGGATAGAGATAGATAGATATAGAGAAATAATAAATAGAGGAATATAGAAAGAATAGTACATATTCCTGTACACTCGCGTATTCACAGCTTTTATCAGCAAACGATTTGTCGCCGCGTCACCGCAGGGTTTACAGGCCTAGTGATTAGACTGCACGCCGTACGTTTGTGCAAGAGAAGTTGCCGCACGACGCAGGTCAATATTTTCTCCTTACGTGAAATTTATCAATACCGCAAATGTTTATGTAATTTTGTTCTGCGTTTATTTTGAGCAGATAAATTTGCAGTAACAGAGACGAGTACATTTCAATATCGAGTGAACCAAACCCAGAATATTTTAAAAATCTGTCGAACAAGAAACATCTCAATATGAAGAGTAAATTTTGAGTGCTGTCTAGTACCTCAATCAGCAGGTAAATGCAATGCAGTGGTGTGATTTACGTACTTGAAATCAATTAAAGAAAGAAGGATATTAGATTTCGTGTTTCGATTGTCGTCTTATAGACTTTTACACGGTGTAATTTTGTTACGAACTTTTTTGAGAAGTGTACTGCCTTTATTTTTATGGCATAATCTTGAAGACATTCTTACCGCCGTGAAAACTTGAATTCTCGTAGTACATCGTCGATTATTATGTTGTGTAACGACACTATAGGCCTATAAACTGAGGAGGCAACGTGGCGTTGAATGATTTCGGATAATAATAAAGAATTATTCAAAACGAGGTGACTATAACTGCAGCCATTCGGATAACTTCCGATATAAGTTTCCACCAGCCTGCGCTCTCGGTCCATTTGTGCTGAAGATATGCGTGTGGCGCTTGTCCGGTGACTGGGTCCGACTCGCGAACTCTCGTGAACAAGCGAGTGGGCGGGGAATATGGAGCACGCAACAAGTGTGTTATTTATGAGTGTAGGTACCGCCTTCCTGTCATAACCAGCCCAAGCCCCCAGCCACTGGACCGCCGAACTACACTTCATCATCCGAGACCCACGCACGCGTACGAGGCTCCGGAAAGGAGGCGCGATCTCCCCCTTCCGTGTAAGCGAGGGCTTGCGTACGGGCTGGATGACCGGGTTTCGATTCAGGGCACGGGTTTTTCTTCGTTTCTGGACCTACAATGGAGCTCGCAGCCTCCTATCAAACTCACGCCGTGAATACGTCAGCTGGACCCGTCCAACAAATCAGTAGTCATTCGCTGTAATGGCTAATTATCACTGTTATAAATTCATACATTAGATTAATCAAAATAATGACGGGGGTTGCTTAAACTTCAATGACGTAATATTCTTTCTACCTAAAGACAATATTCTCTGCGTCTTTGACGATAACATGGAAAATATTCCGCATTTCCTTGTATTTCAGCTAAATGATATTTACGTTTTCTGGAAATATTTCACGACTCTTGAGTTTAAAACAAAAAAGTTTCTTTCCCCTTGAGTTTCCTGCGCGTGTTTGTTTGGCGTTATCCGGTCAAAATAAATTAACAGCAGTGGGAAAGTGGGGGTCGGCTGTGCTTTGAAGAAACTCTTAGACAAATAATAGGACGACTGAACGTATCTCACGAACTTTTCATAAATACGTAGAAATGCTCTTGAGGATTGGGGCTTAGTCGTTCACTTTGACAATCCTCAAAATGAGTGGCATCCATTATTGTCTATGAAGCCAAAGCTATTTCTGGCCACCGTTGGAATCTGCCTGTCTGCATACACACGTCGCACAGTCAGGGTAACAAAGAGTCGGCAAATGACGAGCTGTAGCAATCCAGTCAGGAGCGGAAACACAAAATGTATGCCTGAGTTTGGTTTTGGTCTAGAATGATTTTATTTATGTTTGGCATTGGTAAGTAATACATTTTGTAGTAAATAACTTAATGGGAGATTTGAAGTATGGGGCGAAGTGAAGCCTTTCTCCCTTGAACGTTGTGTCCAGTTATCATAATCGACGATGTGCTAGTTTCAGTACCATTCGTTTATAGCAGTGGTATTCAATATTTTTTGTTCGCGTACCCCCAGATATAATTTCTCTTCAAATTTGTACCCCCCAAATTTGTTGTTGTATAATCCAAGTTATACATAGAATATAATCTACATCTAAAATAAATTAAATAAATTACATTACTGATTATTCAGTGTTTATCATAAAATAATTTTTTTTTAAATTTCACGTACCCCCTAAGATGTCTTCGCGTACCCACGGGGGGCACGCGTACCCCCAAGTTGAATACCACTGCGTTAGGAAATACTACAAACAATTTCAGTTTAGTTTGTTTAAATGCTGGTTCGATCCCGTGATTGTGTTACGGGTCGCGAATCTGCTTAACCAACTAGTTCAAGCTGTTGTGTTTTCTGGTGTTTACTGTCCAAGGTCATGGCGATGTGGAGGCAGCAAACACCGGCACTGCCTACAGGAGTAACACGGCGGAACGTCCATCATACTCTCCGCCGTGAGAACCTGAAGACTCACATGTTTCTGTCTCGTTTCAGGAGAAAGCTCCGGTT